CCCCCCAATGCAGCAATCTTCTCCCCCACCCTCTCTCTCATTTGATTGACGTTGCACTGCTGAGGACGTGAAAGCACCTGCTGCGAAGCAGGAGGAAAGGAGAGCGGAAAAAGTTCAAAACTTATTTCTACTGGCAGAACAGGTGTTGTTTAATGTTATTTATTGTTTTTAGATCATCCTACAGGGTCTGACATGTTAGATAAATTTGAAAATGAGGTTTTGAAAATATCCATAAGACTTGAAAAAGTCCGTGAGATTGCCATATACTTCCGTATACCTGCAAAATGATGTAAAATCCTTATAACTTATGGACAATCCGTGCAAGTTTACATGTATGTTGTTATTTACTTGCTTTCTGGGAAAGCAAATAAATCTAAGTTTCCCATAGTACCTTACACTGTCAAACTTGTTTTCAGGGGGTTCAAATTGGGGTGGGTGGGACATAGTTTGGGGAGGGCGGGGGGTTGCGCTTCAACTTGCCTAGGGCACCAAAATGGCTAGAGTCAGCACTGCCAAGAAGCAGGTGGATATTTAGAAGGATCCTATAGTGCCTGATGATAGAAAATATTCAGCCTTTGCAGCTTTTTTTTTTTCACCTGTATGAAATCTGGCAGAATCTGAAATGCACAAACATCAAGATTGGTTGTTATAGTAAGTACAGAGCAGCTCAAATAACAATGTGCTGAATATATTTATAATCTGATCATGAGAGAAGACAAATGTGTCACTAAATGTGTTCATGTCTATTTAAAAAAAAATCACTGTTCTTCAAACTCCCACAGTTGAAAGTGCAGGATTTTTACCTCTCCCTCTACAGCAGCTCTGCTTCTCTTCCAGAGAAGCTCCATCAAGGCTTAAAGCACCTGGGATGAAATGCATCAAAGAAGCTTTTGTGGACAAAAAAAAGAGTGTTGAGAAAAAAAAGAGGGGGAAAAAACACGGCTTGAAAGCAATGAATGGGCAACAGGGGTATAAAATGGCCTTGGAAGCTCAGAATCTCATTTCATATTCCGCTCAGTCACGCCCGGCAGAAAGCAATCTCAGGTAACAGACCTTATGTTAATAACACGTGAGGTGCCTCCTTTCAGAAAGACAAAAGCGCGCGGAGGCCATTATACTAACCCAATCCTTTCCCTCCTGCCTTGGGATGTTCAAGGATTTCATCTGCGGAGACGAGTGTTTGTATTGTTTCTCGTGGCTGTGAAGGCTTGATTAGAGAAGCTTCTCCACAATCTCGACAGGCCTGGCACTGATGGTTTCCTTTGCCCCGCTGTATTGCAGGTAATGACACAAAACAGGACCTCGCTCATTATCTAAAAATCCCCRGTGTCGCGGGAGTAATTGGGCCGAATTGTGTCTGTTCCAAAGCTCCGGATTGGACTCATTTGGGAGGTCTCCTTCGTGTTTATTCAATCGCCTGCTTCAACTCCAAGGTGGCTTTTCACAATTATTCATCTTCTTTTGCTGCAATGTCCAAGAAATGACACAAACATGAAATTTTAATTCTAATTCAAGGTTTTGCATTTCTTGAAATAATGCMATTTACCCACCACCTTTCAGGACAGTTTTAACACTGTGACTGACTGGCTTATGTTGGGAAATTACAGTCGTTAAGACTATTTTAGTCCAGACATAAAAATAAACAGTTTCATGAAATAGTGCACAATTTCTCATGATCTRCAGAGCCGTTCCAGTATGTGTTSTGAATGACTGTCACCTACGACCACAYCAAGTTTTAGTTCAACATCTTTAAAATTCACAGAGATTTTAGTTTCGGATTACTTTTTGAGAGATTCGGAATCCATTTGTCCACGTAATTCATGCTACATTTTGCCAACAATCAAACCGGGCTGACTCCAGCAGTTAAAGGTGAGATCTTAAGAACACGTGATATATCTTATGGATGAGATTCAGCAACCACCACATCAAACTTTAGCTCAGTAGGAGTACTCAGAGCAAGCCACATCCAACACAAATTAGAAAATTTGMCAACTGTTGAGCAAATTTTATGTTTCCGAAGAAATTGTTTTCCTTGACTTCTGCACGAGACATTTTTTTTTACTTTGCTACAAACTGTATTTGTGTTGTTATTCGTAACTGTGCACACTGTGACAGCAACA